CCACGAGCGTCCAATGCATCCCAAAAAAGTCACTGTTTGGTGTGGATTTTGGGCTGGCGGCGTTATCGGTCCATATTTCTCAGAGAACGACGTTGGCCAGGCCATCCCTGTCAACGGTGAGCACTATAACACCTGGGCTGAAAAGGCCCGGTCCTGAGAAAGAAAAAGGAATTTTTTCGTTCAAAATTGGCTTTATTCGTAATCTCCATCAAGAGTGAGCATTTTTTGAGGTCTGCGAACAGCCAGTAGTCGCTGGGAGTCAAATATGGAGAATACGACGGATGTGGGATGTGTTAATCAGCTGTCGCCCCCATACGAACGACACCTCTCAGAAGTTGAGAAACTTGTGTGAGCTAAGGACTAACGAGGTCTTACCTTTTAACTACAGCTGGGAAACAATAAAGACGATTATTGTTACTATTAACTTTGAACCAAAAACTTTGAAAATTATTTTACTTTTCAAAAAAATTGACCGTGGTTAACACCATAGTTGTGTAATTTGTAACATTGCAGACTTTTAAAATAAATCGTCGTATGCAGGATGCTGTCTATTTATCGCCTTGGCAATTTTTTTTTCGTAGTCCCCATTTAAAAGAAATAAAAGAAAATAAAATTTCACTTAGATGGCCATGACTTCAAATGTAGATGTATTTCTTTCTTAAATAACATTTCCCGAGAATTTTCAAAATAAGAGTACTTTACTCTTGTCTCAAAATCAAATATTTGAAGGCTTCTACGTGTGTTTTACTGTATTTTGTTGTTGCCTGCTTAATATCAGGGGATGCACACACTTTTATCAAGAATAACTTTGTGTCGAAAAACCCTTAATAAATACCTGAGTTTCCCATATGGTGCATGACATTTCAAACCTCAGTGATTTAACTAGCAGATAGGTATTCAACAGGAATTAAACTTAATAGGCTTTGCATTCTGCTGCACTTCACTTCTAGACAAAAGCCGGTATGAAATTATTATAGGTATAGTTACTTAAACGTTACATCTAATTCGTTTAATTAGCAGTGATGTCGGTTGTTTACTGATTATGAATAACTCTGAATTACTTCATTCTGGTATAGGTACACAAGAAACTATACAGTGTGTGTCATATCGGACTTTCATTAGAATCTATACATGAAGTAGTGGAGTTATCAAAAAATGTTGTTGGAGTCTCCTGAACGAACTGTCATCATAATTTTTTTTCTCTCATATTCGCAAAAGGATTGATCACCTGAATATCTATTAATGTATCCCCAATTTATTTCACTATGGAACTTCTTTTTTGCTGGAAGAGTTCAATGTCGAAAATAATATACTTTTTCAAACTATTCCTGTTATGGCTTTGGAACGACTGGATATTCACCTGTGCAATCACATATTTTTGAAAAGAGCTTTTCAAGAAGAAATCACATACAGGCAGGGCCGTAGCGAAAAGAAAAACCAGGGGCGGAAGGGAATCGAAATTTTCCCAACCCCACCAGCAAAACTTCCCAACTTTCGAAAAAATGAGAGCCGAGGGATCAGTTACTACTATAATATATTAATTTTCTTACTTAGCTATTCAAAGATTGGCTGAATGCTTATGCCCGTTAGGGTATGCACAAACAAAAATAAATTTTGGTAATTATAAAAATAATAATGGGAATTATTCTACTTTGGACCAAGGTCCTTGGTCTTCCACCATATCCACCATGTATAGGAATATTCAATACAAATGAAAGGAAACAACACTTAAATAATATTGTGCTTATTGTTTTCTACTATTATTTTTTCTATCTTCACGGCTCAGAATTTCCCAACTTTTCCAAGTCGAAAAAACATCGAAAAGTTGTGAATTTTGTAAAATTGTCACTTATGTACTGTTCAGGACTGTTCTCCTACTTGGGAGAAATTAAACTTTTCTGAAGTTTTCAAACAACTCATAATTTCAAAGTATGGGATCTCCAAGTTATGCATGTTGGGAAATCCCACCCTTCTCCTGGTTCTTTCTCTTTTCTTATTGCCTCTCCCTTTTTTTCTCTCATTTTTATTCATTGTTTTACTATTATTTTTTTCTATCTTCACGACCCAAAATTTTTCAACTTTTTTCCAAGTCGAAAATTGTTCATTCCTTATTGATAAATGAAATGTTGAACGTTTTATTTAAGAAAAAACAGAAAATTCGCTGTCGTTTTGATGAGGAAATCATCAACAAATAACATCAGTGGAAACAAAATCAACGGATAAATTTTTCAAAATGACCTCCACCTAGTTTAAAAATATGGTTAAAATATGTTTTTTCCGTTAACCAGCTATCGCACCCTTACAAACGACAACCCTCGGAAGTCGAAACTTGAGCGAGCTAAGGACTAACTAGGTCTTACCTTTCAACGTGTATCGGTAGCCGACCATACAATAATATTTCTTATTAGACATACAATAATACAGTCTACTCTCGAAAGCGTTCCGTACCATTTTCAAGATGTCCGGAGTCAGCAATCGGCATTCCCGAACAATTCTCTGTCGCAGGTCTTCTAGATTTGTAGGCTTAGTACAGTACACTTTCGATTTCAGGTGTCCCCATAGAAAGAAGTCCATCGGTGTGAGATCAGGTGATCTAGCTGGCCACTCTACTGGACCCCTTCTGCCGATCCAACGCATTAGAAAACATTCGTCCCAAAAAATGTCTCACCCGAACATCAAAATGTGGGGGTGCGCCATCCTGCTGGAATGTCATTTCATTTTCTACTAAATTGTCATCATTTTCGAAAATTTGTGTAATCATAAGATCTACACAGTCTCGTAATCGATTCAAGTGTGTGTTCATTGAGATAACTTTCCATGAAGAATGGTCCAACAACATGATTACCAAGAATGCTGGCCCAGATACTCAACTTTGTGGAGTTTGTGAATGTGTTTCCATCACCAAATGAGGATTCACATCCCTCCAGTAACGACAATTATATCTATCGACTTCACCATTTAACATGAAACAACTTTCGTCTGAAAAATACGTGTCTATTGTATAATAGTTTTGGGTTATTGGTCAATTTCTCGCTGAACACCTCACATAACTGAAGTTTACGATCAGAATCATCATCTTCGTTCAGTTCCTGATCTAACCTTATTTTGAGAGAATGAAATTTGTAGGCTTTCAAAATCCGTAAAACACTAGTAGCTGATACACCAGACGCTCTAGCTACTTGCCTGATAGATTGTCGATTATCCATTTGTACAAATCCTAAAATTGCAACTTCAACTCCGTCATTTCTGACGGGACGGGATACTTCATGTTTTCTGTTGTGAATAAAACCTGAAGTTCGAAACTTATCCATTAACTATTTAACGTATTGATGGCTCACGTTGTGGTCTGGATAATTCGTATTATAAATTCTTGCAGCAGCTTTAGCACATTCATTATTTCGATAATAGGTTGCAACAATTTCTATTCTTTCTTCAGTAGAATAAACCATGTTGGAACACAGTGAACAAGGATGACTGAATGACGATTCATGAAGTGACAGTGGCCAACTATCTACTTTTTGTTCTGCGACAACTGGATTCAACAAAAACTACCAGTGCAGAAAAAACTAACACAGTCGTCCATTTCAAAACGTTTACCACTAATTAAATAAATTTTACAAATCTAGAAGACCTGTGACAGAGAATTATTCGGGAATGCCGATGTCTGACTCCGGACATCTTCAATAATGTAAGGAACGCTTTCGAAAGTAGACTGTATTATTATATGAAACTAGATGGAGGTCATTTTGAACACTTTTATTCGTTGATTATATATTATCCGTATTTAATAATAAAAAACCACATTTTCAAAACAAAAAAGACTTAAATGAGTTTTTTACAATATGGACTGTTGAAAGGATTTCTGGCATGATTAATTAACTTCATGCTGTATAACCACACAATCTACATTTTCTAAAAGTACTATCCTAATGGACTTTGAATATGAAAATCAAATCACTTTATTCCATAAAAAAAACTCAACTTTGATACGCTACACTACTACTGGATATCCTGTATATTGAAGAATATGTAAAATATGCCAATGTATTGTTTTCTGAGACTTTTATATGAAATATTTTTTTGATAACTCCACTGATCCTTCTCAAATTTCTAATGGATGCTTGATGTGACACACACTGTATACCGAAAAACTTGCTCCTGAAGTCTTTGTTGTTTTGGTAACATTATAGTCTATGTCAGTAACCCAAATAACTTTTAAGTATTCCAGTGATTGTGGAAGTTTGAAGTATTTAGACTGTGGAGGCAGAAGTTGAACGGCGAACTTCACATTAAATTATTTAGAGCACAAAAGGGGCTATGAAAACATTATTTTTCGTTCAGTATAGAGAATAAAAATAAACTTGATCTTGACGTTTGTCAAGGAAAATATACTTGTTTTCGATTGAGTCGTTCTTCACAAGTGAATTTATTGGGTATTGAAAACAGAAAAAGATAGTTTTCTTAAATAATAACCATCTGAATGAAAATAAGTATAGAAACTTCATTTTTTTCCATTGATTATTCAATTCGCAGGAAATATTTATGAATACAAGTTATTGGCTAGTTGGACTCTTAAGTGATTTATACTACGCAGTAACTTTGGTGGCGAACTTTTCATTTTGCATTTCATTACAATTCAGCACCCTTTTTGTTTATTAAGTTTTGTTTATTTGTCAGATTGCGGAAATGTATAAAGACAAAAAAAAGAAAACATTGGAAACGTTACATGAACAATAATTTCATTTAATCGAATCGTTCTGTGTCATTGTATTTCACAGAGTAGTCATTAAAACGCAGTGGTATTTCAACCAATTCCCAAGGAAGCGGTTTTTTTTTCAAACAGATAACAATACATCCGGGAGGTTACTTAATTCTCTGTAAAGTTTACGATGATAGTACTCGATACAAAATCGGCGTGTCAGTTCTCTGGCAATACCTCCCACATTCATCAAAAAGTCATTCGATTCCGTAGTGCTGAAATGAGTGCGTTATATTTTCAGGCAACGAAGGATTTTTTGGGGAAGGTGAACGCTAAATATCGTCGGAAAATCGGACCGGTTCCTTGGTCGACGGCGGTGCGATTTTTGTATGCGAGGAAGTTCGACGTGACGAGAGCCGTCGCTCTTTTCGACCAGCACGAGCAGATCAGAAAACAAGAAGGCCTAAATGATTTCGATCCCTTGAGCGAACCCCTCAAAACGGAGTTGTTGACAGGAAAGTTTACAGTTTTGGTAAGTTGAAACAACGAATTGCTCAGCAAATAAGTCATTTTAATAATGATAACTTCATTGTCCACCGATAAACTTTTTTTTTTCTACTACTTGGGAGCCATCTGATTTGTCCATTTCTACCAAATATCCGAATAACACTGCAGCTTCATGGGCTTATTGCATTTTTCTCCCGTCTTTCAAATGATACCAACCCAATAATCTTGTGCCCTATACTAGTTTCTACAAGTCCCTCGCTGGGTGTTGGTCATATTCCTGTGGATATAATCTGGGTGGTCCATAAATTGTTTGTCTCTAGTGATACAAAGCCTTACAATCCCATACAATATGATGAGCTGTCCCTTTCTTGCATTGCCTGCAGTTCAGGTATCTATGGTACAGCTCTATCTTGTTCAGGCTCAATGGATATTATCCAGCCCTGTAATTGTTATGTTTCGATCCCTACTCTCTCTTACGGTCCCTTTATAAACGTTTTTCCGTGTGTCTTTCATGGTAGGTATTGTTCTCAGTACTATCTATGTTTCATAGACCCCTTTTTAATATGGTTCCACACCAAAGAATTTGGTACTCCCACAGCAATATATTCTGGATGTAGTTTTAAACTAATTCAATAGTGACGACCTGTTTTTCAATGTGAAAAAACTCTGCTTTCACAACTATCAGAATAAAACCGATGATATTCAGGTTATTGATAATTACTCTATCTTGGGAAAAACCCATGATGCTGTTAAATTCCTAGGCATTCAAATGGATGAGAGTCTTTCTTGGAATGAGCACTGTGATCAACTAGTTTCAAAATTGAGCTCTATAACCTATCTTTTCATTAACTTGAGAAATGTTCTCAACATAAACCAACTTATGACTGTTTATCATGCCCAGGCAATGTTGCCAACTGGATTAACTATGAGGTCGCTACACATGAACCAAAATTCCGTTAACTGCTCCAAATTCCGCTACGCTAGTATATCTAACGCAATCAGTTCGGGAATGCCCCCTATACAAAATTAAATACCACAGAACTTAGTTTGTGTACCGTTTAGATACCACAAAACTGAACTGTCACCTAATGTCAGGAATCAGGATCATACAACCGCGCAACCCAGTAGATGGTACCTAATTTTCTAAATTTGCATCAGTTAATTTTTGAAAGCTGTCGTCACGATCAAATATTTCTTAGCTTGAAATAATGATTTTGACAAGTAAAAATAAATATCAATTTGCTCACGTACGTATAGTCACACTGAGCTCTCGAACGATCATTCGCGACAAGTGTAATTCATACTTTCAAGTTGGAATCAGACAACCAATGTTAAGAAAAAGTTTTGTTTCTGAGACTTTTTGTATTTTTTGAACATGTCTTGTTCCGGTCAATTTCAACTGCGGTAGCTCTTTCGCATTCTCTATCTTTCTTCATTTATTCAAGTGTCAGCCTCTTCTTCCATATTTTTTATTTCAATATAGAAAATTCCGCTACTTTATGTTCAAATACGCTACGCCGCTCCCGTTGAGTAAATTCCGCTACAGTAGTGGAATTCCGCAACGGTTGCGACTCTATGCCCAGGTCGAATCCAGGTTGCGCTATGGTGTATGTCTGTGGGGCAACTCTGCAATGAGCAAAAATGTATTCATCCAACAAAAAGGTATCCTACGCTGTTTGTTCAACGTTCCTCGACAGTATTCATGCAGAAACATCTTCGTTACACACGACATGAAATTTTAACTCTGGTTAGATTATATATTTATGAGTGGTCAGTTTATGTTTTCACTAATAGAAATGACTGCAATAAAATGATACACCTTACAAATAAACTTTTTTTTTTCTACTACTTGGGAGCCATCTGATTTGTCCATTTCTACCAAATATCCGAATAACACTGCAGCTTCGTGGGCTTATTGCATTTTTCTCCCGTCTTTCAAATGATACCCAACCCAATAATCTTGTGCCCTATACTAGATTCTACAAGTCCCTCGTTGGGTGTTGGTCATATTCCTGTGGATATAATCTGGGTGGTCCATAAATTGTTTGTCTCTAGTGATACAAAGCCTTACAATCCCATACAATATGATGAGCTGTCCCTTTCTTGCATTGCCTGCAGTTCAGGTATCTATGGTACAGCTCTATCTTGTTCAGGTGTCCTCTCAATGGATATTATCCAGCCCTGTAATTGTTATGTTTCGATCCCTACTCTCTCTTACGGTCCCTTTATAAACGTTTTTCCGTGTGTCTTTCATGGTAGGTATTGTTCTCAGTACTATCTATGTTTCATAGACCCCTTTTTAATATGGTTCCACACCAAAGAATTTGGTACTCCCACAGCCAGTTTAGAGTATGTAGTTGATGATCTGTATCTGGCACAATCATCACCTCTTTCGTTGACTGCGATGACTCAGTGTCATGAAACCCATTACATAGTCAATGTATTCCTGTTTCCTCAGTTCTTCATGATTTTTCCAGATCAGTCTCAATGCTACTTTTAGGTTCGTCAGTGCCCCAAGTGCAGCCTGGCAGCCACTATTTTCGTCGAGGCTTCAAATTGATGTTTCTTGCACATTGTAAGATTGCATATACCTCAGCCTGGAAGGCTTATGTGTACTGACCGAGTGGGTAACTTGAATCAAGATTTCTCCCCACACAGTAGGTAAATTCTTGCTCCCGTTCTATATTCGGTTTTCGACCAGTCTGTATACCAGGTGTTTGCCGAGCATGTTCTCAGGATGACTGTTCGTTCCTCCACATATTCTGGAAACTCTGTTTTGCCAGATCACGTGTAACTCTGCGAGTTTTTCAGTCCGAATCCACCCACCCCGATTATTGATTACTAGATGTAAAGGAGGAATATTCAAGAATGTCTCCAATGCAGCTGTAGGGGTGGATTTCAATGCTCCCGTTATTCCCAAACATGCAAGTCTTTGCACCCATCTTGGGTTATTATTAGCGGTAGTTTGATTCATCTTTGACAACCCGACCGTAGATACGTATATGGTTTTAACCACCGTGGAGTAGAGCCAATATATCATGTCTTGTTCAAACCTCTATTTATCTCCGTAGGTGCATCCATCCAGCAACAGTGCTGCTTTAGCCTTTCCTTTAATCCTCTCTTGAAAAGGCCACACTTGCTCCATGTTGATGAATAATATCTTCTCTCAACAAAAATCCACGTCTGCAAAAAATCTACATCGTGATATGTTCTCTTTGTTACCATATGGTAACGGGGTATTTTGCCCAAAATATACTACCCAGTGCTGAAAGAAATATCACAAAACATTTTACAGACGTGAAAATATAAATATCAATGAATCGATATTACTGAAAATTTGAATCTAACGTCCATTTTTAATATTCAACACCAAACAACACTCAAAACTTGTTTGTCCCCCTTTAAACAAACTTGTCTTATTAAATATTTGCGAATTACAAGTACAAGTTTTGAAAACAGCTTGACAACGATATTTTTGAATAAATTAATGAAGGGATAGAAAATGAATATAAAAAAGTAGGAAGTTAGTTACCAAAGCCTTGTTCTGGATTTATTTCGTTCCAATAATTTCTTTTTATTTTTTCATCAAAATTACCTTTTAGTTTTTCTCGTACATCGCCATATTTGAAAAATCTTCCTCTGTTAGAATTTTTCATTTTTTGTTGTATACTTTTCTGGTTTTCGCTTTAGGAAATATTGCAGTTCTATATAGGTGGCACTATTATTATTATGTTTACTATTTAGAGAAGCTTTCAGAATCAAAAATTTAATTGTGGATGTCTTATATTTCTTGGATAAATCCTCAAAGTAAACCAACACAATTTTTCCAAAAAGTGATTTGATTATATTTGAACACGAATGATTGAAATTAGTCACTTTCAGATCTTGTTTCCTGTGTGTTTGTGTGTGTTTATTAGTGTTTTCATGTGTTTGATGACCCACCCTGTATGTATGAGTATTAAGATGATATAATGAAGTGTAATAGATAACGAGTCGTGATGAGAATTTAGATAGTCGAATATACAGGGTCCTGCAACAGTGGCGCGGTGTTCCATATCTCTATATAGGAAGCAGATAGGAATCTAATTTTCTATAATATTACCTTATTGCTCGAGCTCGACAAAATAAAAATATTGGCGGTCACACAGGGTGTTCGATTTTTTCTGGGCGGATCCCAACTGTGTCTTTTTAAATGGCAACCTATATNTGACAACGATATTTTTGAATAAATTAATGAAGGGATAGAAAATGAATATAAAAAAGTAGGAAGTTAGTTACCAAAGCCTTGTTCTGGATTTATTTCGTTCCAATAATTTCTTTTTATTTTTTCATCAAAATTACCTTTTAGTTTTTCTCGTACATCGCCATATTTGAAAAATCTTCCTCTGTTAGAATTTTTCATTTTTTGTTGTATACTTTTCTGGTTTTCGCTTTAGGAAATATTGCAGTTCTATATAGGTGGCACTATTATTATTATGTTTACTATTTAGAGAAGCTTTCAGAATCAAAAATTTAATTGAAGTGTGGATGTCTTATATTTCTTGGATAAATCCTCAAAGTAAACCAACACAATTTTTCCAAAAAGTGATTTGATTATATTTGAACATGAATGATTGAAATTAGTCACTTTCAGATCTTGTTTCCTGTGTTTGGGTATGTTTATTGGTATTTTCATGTGTTTGATGACCCACCCTGTATGTATGAGTATTAAGATGATATAATGATGTGTAATAGATAACGAGTCGTGATGGGAATTTAGATAGTCGAATATAGAATGTTCCCATGCTGATCACGAGTAGTATATTTTTGCATTTTTTCAAAAAATAATTCTATACAGTTATTCAACCTTATCCACTTTTGTTTTAGCTTTTTTTCAACGCTTGAAATTTTGAAAACAACTTTAGATATTTTGGCATTAATTTGCAAGATTACTTTTCCAATATGAACTTGGTAGTTCGATTGATATAAATCATTGGGCTAGCCAGTGCGTTATTCCAGTTATTAAGTATCATTACATGACATACCGTTTCCTTTTCAGCAAAAAAGAGACAATACCGATGCCGCGATAGCTGTATTTACTGCCCACAAACACATACCTGCCAACAGCACGCACCAAACCACCTTACAGGGAGTCGTCTTTCAGTTGGATTGCGCCTTACAGGATACTGTGACTCAGAAAGCTGGCATAGTGTTCATATACGACATGTCCAATTCCAAATATTCGAATTTCGACTATGACTTATCTCAGAAAATATTAACTCTTCTTAAGGTGAGTCAAATTTTCCCTATATGCGATTTTAACTTGGAACTTTCGAGTGATTCAGATATCGGAAATTCTTACGTACATTGAAAAATCAGTGATTAATCATATTATCTGTATTAGAGGAGATGAATCTAGATTGTTTGAGCGATCCAGTCTCGCGTACGATCAGTATCAGTATTAGTTGCAATTATTTATACGATAGATCAGAGAGTAATACGCTTACGATAACTGATGCCGATCATGTAATATTGATTATTATGGGAATTAACATTTATCATACTCTTCAAGTTCTGTTACTATTAGTAATTTGTACTACTATAGAAAGTATTCGCATTAGAAAAGTCGTTTGAAGTCGTTAAGTAAGTTGAATTATGCATAACGATTAGATTCCTAGCTGAACGAAATTCTGTAGTGCAGTGGTGGGACTGCAACCTGTTGGATTGTAGTGGGTAGTTTGCTCCACTTACTCAATCGACCGCTGCACAGATTGGTGTTCGAGCCAAAAAAGTGGTCAGAAACAATTGATTGTAGTTTATGTCTTGAAATCTACTTTTTTTCAATATAATGTAACTACTAACAGTAGGGTCATGACAGTTGTATTCATACTGTTACGTTTTCCCCCGTGGGTTAACCAATAATTGACTACACTGAATAATCAAACTTTATTTCACTTTAAATATAACAAACACTTCAATTAAATATTTAACTATTATTTGAATATCTATCGCCTTACTAGATCACTTCGCGTACCGCACTGTAGCTTCCACTTGACTGTCTTGATAGCCTTTAAATATCGTAATCGAATGCCGTAGAAATTTCGCCAAAGTTCCGACGAAATCGGTAGCATTATTGTCGCTGCTTCTAGAGTGGCGGGGAATCATTGTACATTCGCACGCTCTTAGTTACGCCACGTTTGGTTTATGGTTACCAGTGGCAGCCGGCGTTATTTTCTTTCGGGCATGATTTAAAACAATACATATATTTTTAGCAATTTATCCAAGGAGCAATGTATTTACAAGCAGGCATGTAAAATGAAATAAAAACTGTTAATATTAATTTATCAGATACTATAATAATATTTATTGAGTTGCCAAAACTCTTTTGGTTTAGTAATACATGAAATTTATCCTATATCATCTGATTAACAAATAACTAACAGACGGATTCTGCGGCACTGCGCCGATATCCGGTTGATCTCAAAAATAAAAGGCTTCCTTCGAATTTGGCTTTCTGTTTTTTCTGGTATGTCTAAAACTACACAAAAATGGATCCAATAATAAAAGCCTATTTATCACATCCTCATTGCTCGCTGTCCTGGGAAATTTTCTGTGTATATTTGCGAAAATGCTTGTTGCATGCTTCTTCCGGTAATTGACCAATCGGCAACAACGCATGCGATATTATTGTTGGAGCATGAATTAATATTTAATGAATAATAAACGACGGGACGTATTCCCGTCATTGGTATAACCATACCCTGGTTTAGGTATGTCAACCAGCAGTCTCATTTTTTTCCTGAACTTCCTCTGAATTTCTTCCTTGGATGAATTTATTTTATACTCATCACTTTTTTTTGTGACGCGACCTTCAAGAACTCCAGCTTTTAGGACAAATGTAAGGTAAATTCAAAAAATCGAATTCTCGCGTGTAAAATAGATAGTCCAAAATTCAATGTCAATATAAACATAATGTTTTTATTACAAATTCTGCAAAATGACATTTAATTTCAATAGTTTTCAAAATGCAAAAAACAGGGAAAAACATGAATTGAAATCTCTCACATTTGCTACCATATAGAATACATACCTTAATCAAGCGTATCCATAATGATTTTTTTTTTAATTGCAATAACTTTAAAAATAAAAAACGCAACTGAACTGTGGTAAAATATAAGAACGCTGAGAACGTAAACTAATCACATCAAGTGACAGCGGTCAACTCATCGTTATCATATCTCTCCGGTAGAAATCTGGATTGGGGATCCAGCTAAATGAGGTCGTATCTGCTTTGGGACCCACCGCTAGCTGTTAATAATAAAGTTTGTAATTTTGATTTATGGCCATTTTTTGGGCTATGCGCTGTGCGAACCGGTGGTACGAACCGCAAGGCCGGACAATCGATTTTCACATCCTATCGTCCAACCCATGTTAGAAATAACACGTTAAAAGATAAGATCTTGTTAGTCCCAGCTCGAGAGTTGTTGTTCTTAGGGGGCGACAGCTGGTTAACGGAAATACAGATTTTAACAGATTTCAACAGTTTGAAGACAAAAATTCCGTTTTTTCCTGAAACAAAATAAAACAATTCTGGCGGACAGATCCGACTTTCTGAGGTAGATTTCGTATTGTTGCTGACTTGCTAGCATTCACTACATAATTCAACAGCGTTCCAACGATACTTTACCATTTCACATGTCTACCATTCTTCCTTCTTCACCCACGTCATCCCGTAACATAGAATGATCAGTTAAGCACAGTAAATTATAGTACTCATAAATAAAACGGAAAGGTTGATTAAATTTGGAAATAAGAGAAGTTAAAAATGTTTCAAGTAAGGTTTTTCGAATAATGCTCCATACAAACAAATACATTTGCCAATAATGTCCAGTTATCAAGAAATCCAATATTTTGTTTCGCCGCGCTGTTGCCAGCACTCTGATCTTTTCTTTTTATTTACGTGGATGCCCGAACATAAGCTGACAATTTTAGTTTGGGAAGTAATCACTAGTAAGAAAACGCAACGTCACTTTTGTTTATGTATCTCACAACTATAACTAATAATAACGTGGCACGATTCCTCTGACTGTCGAATAATTCATCGACACTTAAGAGTTTTTCCTTTCCAGTACATTTTTACACTCGTTCTGAAAACCTCTTGTAGATTGTTAGGTCCTTCTCATAGTTCTCATTAAAATCTATACATTGATGTAATGGGAAAGTCATTTTATGATTCGTGAAAATTAACTACACTTGATCGATGAAATCAGCTAGAAGCGGAATCGTGATAATCCTTCTAAATATTTTCTCATATTATCACTTTCATGATTCGCTTTGTGACAGTGTCATGATGCTTTTTGTGGAATTTTTATTTCTTCGTTCATTCATATGAGCAAATCTGTAACATTATTGAAAGTGGTTATCAATTCTATATGATCATTTTTACGGATATTCTCAACAGTTGTCACTACCAAATCAAAACTCGTATGTTGTATGACTAAAATCGAAACGTTCTTCCGAAAATTTTCTCTTTTCCTCGCCACTCAAACAGAAATGTTCTAAAACGTGGGGTCTCAATTAGAAATATACTAAAATCGTGTTTGCAACACGTCTTTTTCCCATAATAATATATTCACTACTCCTGAAAAGTATTGGTGTCATTGACATTGAAAAATATGAATTCATAATTAGAACCGTAATTTAACAGACCAGCGTTGCTAATTCATACGGTATTTCTTCTTAGGGGAATTCATTTCGGAGGAGGGGGTTCAAACCCCCCTTAACTGGCTACGGCTATGATCACGTTGTTGGAATAGCAACAAGGTTTTATACCACTCACTAACTTTTGATAATTTATAAGCTCTTCTCCCAACAGACCTTAAGATCCGTAGATACTATCCAGAAAATCCAAACATCTTAGGTAACAGCTGAAAGTAATACCTAAGAGGTGATGACGAGGTACTCCAAAAACCATACTATATCGGCTTCAGTAACACGGCATTAACTCATTATATTTGTCAATCAAATACCCTCGAGATCAAAAACACGTCAAAATTTTGAGGGATTTTTTATTTCATCATGGAAAAAGGCCCCGGAAGCTAAAAACACTATAAAAATACTTGCAATTGCAACAAAGTGCAATTACAAACAAGTACATGTCAAACTACAAAGACAATTATTACATTAAAATTACATTACATTACATTACATCCCAAAAACCGTTATTCATAAATATTATACAGCTTTTCCATCGAAGAAAATCTTTCCTGGCAACTCTACCTGATATTTAATCAGTTTTAGAAAGAGGCGTGTCTATATAGTGTTCATCATCAACATGTTGTGAAAGTACGGATTTGATGGGAATTTTTAATTATTTTAAGATAAAAATACGTAATTACGTCAATAAATTTCCGGAATTATTGCTTTTTCTGTGTTATTTTTTCCTTTCAGTGAGAATAAATTTTGAAAATTAGCATATTTCCTTGTGAGGAACAGCAGAATGTGACTAATACTGAATCATAATTTTTCGAATCGAAGTTTCTATACTAAAACGATTACTTGGATATTTGTAATATTCACTTCAGTATTATATTTCATAACATAGCTTATAGTGGAAAATTTTGACGGTTTTTCAGCATTGAATTAAAAAGAGTGTCATTGCTTTGATTTGATGATTTTCCTCTAGACCTACACTTTTTATATTTCTAGGAACAACTAATAAAACTGGAGAATAATGAATAAAATTTCTACCTAAGCTATGATTTTACTTTTTTTTTCAAGACAAAACACAAGCACTACAGGAAAATCCTTAAGGCGCTCTAAGAGCGGTGCCTGTGCGATTCACATTTCACCCGTTTGTTAGCGAAATGATTTCCCCCAAGGATTTGAGGACCTTGGTGGAGACTCACCCATCACCAAGGGAGCGCGGGATGGCGAAAGAACTGGGAGTCAGCTCCCATGCGGATTTTGATGGTTTGAAACGTATTGGAGAGCTCGAAAAGTGGGTGCCCCACGAGTCTGTTTTTCAATGCTTTTGCGCAACCAAAACGATCTATTTTTGGATAGGATCGTCACGTGTGATGAATAGTGGAGGCTTCGTAACAACAAGAGACAATAGGGCAGTGGTTGGACACCAATGAACCACCCAGGCACTACCCAAAGGCTAAACTCCACCAAAAAATATCATGTTCCGACAAAATGTACCGAAAATTGCATCAGCAGCAGCCGGTACTGGTCAACAGAAGATACCCGATCCTGCTCCACGACAACGCCCGTCCGCACGTTTCACAA